CCCGCTTTATCCGGAACAATAATAATAATGTAGGATTATATCAGCCTGCACCTAAAATCTCAGATATTGCTGATTAAAAACACTCCGCTTCTGTCTGAAGTTAATAAAACCCATAGGTTAATAAACAAGGGGTCAGTTGTTGACTGTTGTTCTGTTTGTGTAATATCAATTGACCAAACCTTTTTCCATTCCACACTTCAAAATTAGTATGATTGGTGCTTATATAATATTGGCATTCAATATCTGGTATTGCATCGGAAATTAAAAAGTTGTATTGGGACATCCCTAGTGTTCAATTTATTCCAGTGGAATGTTGTAAACATAAACATAGGATATGTTTATGCGGCCAGTTGAAGGGACTCTTCACTTCATGTCCACAGGTTTACAAACTCACTGGCTAAGTTGCCTAAGTTCTTGGGGTGTGGTAAGGTCATTGTTCACTGGTAAAGAGAGAGTTGTGTTTTCTAAAGTGAGGGCTAATTGAAAACTATCACAATTACATCTTTTAACAATTGTATCAATTGCCCTAAAAAAAGCAAGCGTGTGTGTATGTGTGTATATATATATATATATATATATATATATATATATATATATATATATATAATATACTCTATTCCTGCACAAGGTTCCCTAAAAGCTAAAAGCATCATATGCTTGGAGTACAGTTCTACCTAGTTAATCTGTTTGTGCCCAGATAAACAATGTTTTAAAAGGGATCCAGAAAACAGAAAAGGTTCCTGGAGTGGAAACAGGTTTTTTTTTGGCTTTATTCCTTGAGATGACAATCTCTCTCCTTCAAGGTTCATGAAACACATCCTTTGTTTTTGTTTGTTTTTCTTAATTCAGACCAATATTTTGCCCTTTTTTGTAGTTTTCCATGTCTAGTATTGTCGTAATGAGTAAAGTGGAGCTCCTCGCTCCATCAGTTAAGGTTGAATTACTTGTCAGCTGAAACAAATTTATGATATCAGTATTTTTCCGAGTTAAATGCCTCCCCTGCTTGTTTTGTCAAAACCTGGTGGAGACTGTTTGAGATTGGGTTCTTTTACTGGCAAGAGATTGCTATGACTACATTTTCAACTTGTTAAATAGGTTAAGACCACAGCAGGTTTACAGAGTTAATACAAGTGATGAGAAAAAACCCTCATACTCTTTTTGACTTCCTTTTCTACCACTACATATTAAAAATGTACAGGCAGCTCAGAAGGACAGGCTGTGCAGGTTAAAAGCTGTCCTCAGGATGAGGTATTTCAGGTTTAAAGGAATGCTTTTTGTGCTGCACCAGTTTTAGAAACAATCAGTCATGAATGTTACTTTAGGTTTAGCTGGGTGGAGTCAGTGAGGCTTACATTACTGAAGCTTCAGCTGGGGCTGTAAAATCCTTTAACAATAATCTGAATTTGTTTGTAGCCTTATCAATTTTGTTTAGCAAAGTTTTTTATGTCATTTATATTTGTCTATGGTTTATTTTGGGGCAAATTGTATTTAGTCAGCCACTGAATGTCCAAGTTTACCCACTTAGAAAGATGATAGAGGTCTGTAATTTTCATTAGGTACAATTTAAATATAGGAGACAACATTATAAGGAAATCACATTATAGGAAAATGTGTGTGCAAACCTTGGTGGAAAAAAGTAATTGGGTAGTTACAAAAGCTAAACTCAATACCTTGTAGCATTACCTTTTGGTTTGATTGGGGAGATAGAGCTAGAGAAATAGCCGTTATTGTAGTCATTGTGCTTGACAAAAGAGGCCGATAATCTATAAAACTGACGATTGCAGTGTGTAACTGCTTTACCGTGGTTGCAGGTGGTTCAGTGCAGCGTGTCTCTGTATCACTCTGATAGTTTGGATATTAACAGGAAATATGAACAGTGCCTTGACAATGGAGAGAGGATCAAAGAATATGTAGTGGGCTTAATAAGCAAAGAGGATAATAGGGAATGGGTTAAAAAATCCTGCTGAGAACCCTGTATGATGCACAATGATGTCTATGTCTGCTGATTCTGATGTGCAAATTCTTTTTAGGCTCAAAAAAGAACTAAGTTAACACTATTAGGAAAACTACTCAATGTATAGTTTTTTGTTTTTGTTTGTTTTTTTGAAGATGTATTGCTTTAGCGATACAACAGCATGTAAAAGTTAGTGTTATAATAAAAGTTTTCCCCAAAATAGTTCTGTTCAGTTCAAGAAACTGACTATTTTAAATGTCCAAAGGGCAAAATAAGCCAGCGTTTATCCACAAACAACATCCACTTATTGATCTTTTGGAAATAAGACTCCAATTATCTCAAAGAACCATGAAAAAATATTGCGGCATCTGTTAGACATTTGCTTCAGATTTTGTACCGATCGCGTCCCCCTCCCCAATTGTCATTTACATTAGCTGTTGTTTTTTCCCTGTTTCCACAGACGGTATTGTCCCAGAGAACAAAAAAAATCTCCAAAATAATCCTATAGTTATCAGGCATTAAATTAGTTTTTGTAAACTTTTAAATGTTTCAAGGTTACCTGCTTGTAAACAGCACAGCCTGCTTGTTCCTGCGAATGAAGTTTTCTGTAGGGGCATAAGATATTCCACCAATGAATGGGGCCCATCACTGCGGAATATGACCAATAAGATGTGACTCCCGCGATTTTTTTAGATTTGAGTTTAGAGCGAGAGCCCAAGAGACTAGAAGGGGCATAATACCCGATTGGAAAATTGTTTACATTTGAGAGAAATTTCCGGGGGAATATTAGGGCGTACCAAAGCTGTACATCCCAAAAACAGGGTGTACAATTACTAACATTTTTAGTAAAGGGGCGTATAATGTATGCCCGTATGCATTGCTAGCTAAAGCCTATTCCAGAACACACAGCAGTCCATCTGCAGCTGGTTGCTGCTCACACTGACTGTAATGTTAAATACCCTGGATAAGGGGTATCAAACTTCATCAAATATCATCGAGTCTATAAAAGGGCGTTAACTGTTTCAATGAAACGCATGATTTCACAATTTTATTCACAAAAATCACACTGATCAAACTTTTAAGCCTTCCATATACTTTGTCACATTGATAGGCTGTACAACAGTGCAGCAAACCATTATTATCTGCAAGAACATGTCCGTTTACTGAAACAGATCGACAACAATAGTCATAAATAATTCTGCTTTGTTATCAAAGGTTAAGCAATACTATATTCAATATAGGGATAATTCAGGTAGCAAAAATCTAAACAAGATTTTGTTTAGAGGTCAAAGAAGGGCTGGACATCTCAATGTATATCTCAATATGATTTTATTCACAAACAGTGATATGACTTTTTAATGGATTTCCGGTATTTCAATATAAGTTGCAGTATGTGGCTTCATCCAGTCATCCTCCCTAAACCCTATATAGAGCACTTTATAGTGTTTACGCACTTTTATGACTTTGAATGTCTGGTCACAGTCACAAGGAGCAAAAAATATTGATTGTCTGTCCAAACAATCAGTTCATTATAAAATCCACTATATAGTCCAGATCTATGTGGTGATTGGTGGGTCAGGGTAGACGTTCCGACACAGGCCAATGATTACAGTGGTAGGCTAGATGAGCAATGGCGGTCGGCACAGACACAAGCCTGTGGCTGCAGCAGTAGGCTGTGCTCATGGGTAGACTCAGATTCAATTTCATAGATGTGGCAAACTAATTGAAATTAATTTGTACAGGCACCTGTTGGGACGTTTTCCTGATGGTATTTTTGAGGCTTTTGTATTCATTATATCGATATTAAAATAATATTGCATTAACCGATACAAAGAAATGTATACAGATAAAAGTTTAGGCCATATCATTAGGGCCTTAGGTCAAAGGGTTGGATGAGACTATGCAAGTGCACATTTTGTACATTTTGAAGATGTTTGGCCATGTATATTCAAAAGCAATTCCTGACAGTTAGCATGCCGTCAGATAGCTGTCATGAGACATGCTTACTGTACAGGCTCCCAAGCTAATTGGCCCAGATTGAGTTTGTGGAACCTCTGACTTGGCAGCCACTTGTGTTTTTGACATGACATTGATGATCAAAGTTGCTTGTGCTGACCCTGGTTAAGGACCTAATTTGAAGCCAGTGCTGTCACAAGATGGAGATCTGTTGCATGACCACTGATCCCCTGATAAAAGACCCGACAGGGGAACGATTCCCATTTCCAATATCGTCATGGGACGTCTATATGAAATTATCTGTAAGGGGGTTCTAATTGATTCAGGTGGTTTGTTGGGTCTAATTTACAGGAGAGACATATGCAGGAAGAAGTTGTTGCTGTGTTCTGAATAATCACCTATAACTTATACATACATGCATGGCATGGATTTTATTCTAAGGACCTACACAGGGTACCACATACAAGAGATCAATGATGCAGGTTTTTTTTAAACAAGAACTGAAATATTATTGTTTTGACATTAGTTAAACCAAAATAATAGATTATTTATCATGTGAAAAAATGGTAACAAAAAAGGTTTCCAAGAGGTTTGAATACACTGAACAAAATGTAGAAATTGATTTAAAAATGAAGAGTTTTTATTTTGCACCATCAGTTTAAGATGCTTCTATTGCAAAATGAAAAAATTTAAGAGAGGAAAGAAGATGATTTATTTGCTTGCTTTCTCTTTTTTTTAATACCCTAATGCTAGATGCTGCAGTCAAGCTTCAAGTTAACCCTCCTGCTATTCAATAAGCCTTTTAATTGTCTCAGTCTAATTGAGTTGCTTTTCTCTGTTTTTCCCCGCTAATCTTTTTAAAGTCCCTTTTGAACCTTGGCAGCCGAACACTGCAGGCCCTTTGTTCTTACAGTTGGGTTGCGTTTGTGCAAATGTACTCCCCTCTAAGTAGAGAATGTTATCTCTTCAGCTGATTTTTATAGGAAACTATGCATATTTTGCAATTTCATTCGCCTGCAGATCTGAGATTTGTTTTTTGCCTGGGATATAAAACTAGTAAGGATTCTTTTTTTGTTTTTGTGTCTTTCAGGTCCTTTCACAGATGTAGTCACCGCCAACCTCAAACTGAAGAATCCTTCTGACAGAAGAGTATGTTTCAAAGTGAAGACGACAGCACCTCGCAGGTACTGCGTACGGCCAAACAGTGGTGTCATTGATCCAGGAGCAGCTGTCAACATCTCTGGTAAGGCTTTTAGATAAGTTGAAGCTTGATTTTGGTTGATTTAAAATGATAGTTTTGGATAAAGGAAGGTAATGATCTAGAACAGAGCCTTGCCAATCAGTCCTGATCTACTTAAACTAGTACTGAAACTATTCCTCATTTTCTTGTTTTAAAAGAAATATGGACCTAATTTAAACTGGGTATGCATTTTTTTAATAACTCCAGTGTTTTGAATTACCCCATACTAAGACATTAAAAGGAATTTATTTTCTATTCATATTGAGTTAAGTAGATCGACACTTGATTCAGATTAAATCCAAAACAGTCTAGCTTATTCCTACTCAATGCAGACCTTAATATTTTATCAGATGTTTTATGCGATTAGTTATTCATGAAAAGCCCATAGTATTATTGACTTTGCAGCAATATATTGTGAGCAAGCATGTAGTAAAGTGGAAAGAAACCACCTTGTTTTCAGAGGTGGAAACTTTGAGGAGAACCAAGCTCATTATAAAACATCACCTTTCTTAGCAAACTTAAGGCTGATTTATACTTCGAAACTAGGTCGTTTGCCTAGGTGTCACAGTGAACAAATAGATGTCCCCGCCCCCTCCCCAGACACTCTACTGCACCTCTCCCGAATTGTAGGTGAGCGCAGACTGCCGCAGACAAGAGGCCGGCTTGTTTTGTTTTTATGACCACAATTGCGGAAAGTTGGACCAGCTAGCAAAGCGAGGTGTGCGAGAATGCTGGGACCCTTTTTCAACCTGGATCCCTGCTATTTTTCGCCATCATGTCCCTCCGTTGTCGGACAAAGTCGTCCCCACTTCCTCCCTGTCTAGACCCACAGCGTATAGCGCAGACCACGCTTCAATACTGGGCATAAATCAGTATTGCTGCAGGAGTATAACCAACCCTTGAGGGTTGTACAGATGGCTGTAATTACTTGGTTATCCATTTGCCCAATGATCAGGGAACATGGGTATTATTAAGAATTAGTAAATACGGGTAGCCAACTGGTTTGGACATTGTTGCAATGCCCTTTTGTTGAACTGTTTTTTATATTTGATAAACATAACCATAATAAAGGTGGTTGCACTGAACTTAGAAATGTTCTGCCGCTTGAGAAGCAGCCAACACCAGGCTCTCCTCACCCACATGAGAGCAAGTTGTTGTGCAACAGGTGGACCGGCTCCTGTAAAGTTAGCAGTTCAATACGATGGAGTACAAGACCAGCACCTGCAGTCTGTATGTAAATGAGCTACAGTGGCACTGTGTGCCAACGAAATACTACACCGCAGTATGTAGATGCTTAAAGCTAAACCAACTCAAACAAGGCCACTCATTCATTTACTTATTGTGTTTTTCTTGCATGACATATAAGTAAAAGTGATAACTCCTGGTCTTATAATGCTTTGGATTTCCTAAGTCTTAGGTTGAAGCATTTAACACAAAATTCTGCTTTTAAAATCTCCTTCCTTTTTGTTCCCAGTTATGCTACAACCCTTTGACTATGACCCCAACGAGAAAAGTAAACACAAATTTATGGTGCAGACGATTTTCACTCCATCGAACAATTCTGACAATGACTCCCTGGTAAGTATTTGGTTGTTTTATTTATTTATTTATTTTTTTAATACAATGTTTCTTGTATGTGGCAAACTGAAAGATGGGTGTTTAACCACAATCTGGACTATTGATGCAGGCATATCTGATAGCATGCTAATGATGAGGAAGCTGCTTATTTGCATGACTTTGGTTAATCTATTCACTGTTTGTAAAACTCATCTTTTACTGTAAGCAGTTTAACATTTCTTATAATTTAGTCATTTTCTATTAAATTAATACATTTCCCTAAAAAAAGATTTCTCCCCCTTTATTTAGGCTAATATTATTTATTTTATGTTTTTAGCACAATCAAAATCCCATTAGTTACAAAGCCAGGACAATCCCAGCAGCATATGCATTTGATTTGCCAAAACAAGATCAAAGGACCTAAATATTGACTGCAAACATTTTTAACTGCACTAAAAGTACTTTACTGTATATGTAAATATATTCTACAATGCTTTAAATTGGAAATTAAACTCACTGTAACAGATATTCCACTTTGCATTGAAATGCCCTTTAGGTACAATTCTTGTATGTTGGTGTGGTACAAGACTTTGTAGAAGGAGGAAGAAATAAGGACTGCAAAGGGAGGTTGGATTTCCTCTCAGGCCCTCAAGCAGCAAAAACAAGTCGAAAACCTATCATTTAGTGTGACCTATGACTGTTTTAGCTAAAGATAATATATGATGGTATATTATTACTATGTGCAGTATGAGTAATGCATTATTGGGAGTCTCTAAATAGCCAGTTGGAAATTGTTCACACCAAAGGGTTAAATCACAACTTTTGGAACACAGTTGCCTGCAAAACAAGCAGTTTGTGCATCTTATGATTAAAACTGTGGAAAAACAGAGCCCATAAGGTAAAGTTGGCATGTATTTATGTTGTTTTTATCAGAAATATTAGGATTCTGTATGTTATTTCTTTGGCCCATTCTGACATTTTCTAGTTACCTTTTCTTTATGAAACCTGCAAAACAAATGGAAGACCCCATTTGTCCAGCAGGGGACAGCAAACGCTGAAACCTCTGCTTCATTGTTTCATTTTTTGTTTCAGATGTTTTCCTAACTGCTGAATTTCACTGTAAAATTCATTCATAAAATGATGCAATAACTGTGAACAGAATAAACTGAAAGTTGGGACAATGCTACTACTGTTCAGGATTCATCTATTTTATTTTGAGTTTTTATCAGCCTTTTAGACTTGAATATACTATGCAGAGAAAAAGATATGCTGACTTGGATGTATGTTTCCTTGTGCTTATGGTTTTGTTTGTGGAGAAAATTCATCTGGATGCAATTTGACTTAATTAATGACATGTGCATTTTTTATCTGTTAGTGGAAAGACGCAAAACCCGACGATCTCATGGATTCCAAGCTGAGATGTGTCTTTGAGATGCCTTCTGAGAACGAAGTGGTAAGAGGAGCCATACCTGCATGAAGAAAGACATTTTATAACCTTCTTTGACTCGGTTTTTGTTCTTCAAGTTCTTTTGGGCTGTTTGCTTTTCTAATAGAGCATATTATTGTAGAAAAAAAGTGCAAAACCCTTAAGAAAATGTTTATAATTTGCTGCTCTGGCCCTCTAGTTTTGGATGGTAAAATTTTTTTTTGGCAAGAAGATTATCAAAACAAAAATTATTCACTTTGCTATACCATATGTCACACACTGCAATCTAACCCTTTAATATCTTGGCAGAGATGATCAGAAACAACAACAGCCGGAAACAACAAGTTGTCTGTGCCGATAAACTGATTATTCATTTGAACAAAGGAGAGAAAAAAAAAAAAGAGAGAAATTAACAATGAAACGATGGCAGGTAGTTGGGCTTGTTTACATCCATTTAAGTGATTTGCAAGTTTTAACACCCCAAAAATGTTTTTTCATACTTTGCAATGAATGAAATATAAATGCTAGTGTTGCATATTTTTGAAACGCTGAAAAACAAAACATGCCCATTTTTTTCAAAGCAGAAATAAAATGTGTGATGTGTAAATATGGCCCTCCTTATTCTAATGTTGCTAAATACAATTCAATGCAACCCAGTCCCTTCAGAATTCAGATTTATTCTGTGTGGGAGTTTTATCCCAGTAAATTCAGCCCCTGAGATTTGAAGGAGAACAGTAACAGCATCGTGGAGACAAGGAAACACAGCAGACATGTCAGGGTGAAGGTAGTGGAGAAGTTCAAGGTGTTCTGGATTGTTTCTCAGCAGAATGACACTAAAAGCTCCTGTAATATTTATTCACATCTATTTTTCCTTTCTTTGGCTTGAAAATATTTTTTTTATACCGCTTTCCACCAATAACAAAATCATCCCTCCAACCTGTTAGACATTTAACAAAAATAAGTATTTATTTTCACATTTGTGGCTCTGAACAGGGAACCGATGGCTCTTTTGGCACTGAAAGTTTCAGACTCCTGGCCTAAATGCAGCCATATTCATAAAGTCCAGACCTAAATTTGAGTCGGAATAAGTGGAATGAATAAAAACATGCTCAGACCAACTCCATCCAATTTGTCTGAGGTATTGGTCTGTCATATTAAATCTAATAGGATACACTGCAGTGTGTGTTTTAAAGGCAACAAAAACAAAAAAGGGGTAAAAATATTTTTTTCCAGGTTGACTGTTGACAATCTGACTTGTACATCATTTCCCATAAACAAAGTTCAACTTTATTGAGGATAAAAAGCAGAAAAGTTTCGAGTTGTAATAACGTCATTCTTTGTCGTCTGTTTTTAAGGCCAACCTTCATCAACAGTGTGATATTTGTATTCCTGTACTCCCATAAAGCAGGCCTTTATTTGCCCATGTTGTCATCTTGGCTGTCTCACAAACAAAGCCACATCAAGCGTGACTTTGTGGTCTCTTTGATCTGGTGCTGAGAAACTCGGACAAGGCTGCCTTTCTTTGGCATATCCGCTGCATCTAATGGCTCGAGTCTGGCCATGCTGGATTTCACCTCAGTCATGCTTTTCCTTCTATGTCTCTTGGCCAGAATGACGTGGAAGTGACAAGAGCAGCCCCGGTGATAAACTCTATGAAGACTGAGCCAACGGTTCCTGCTGCTGCAGCAGACGACACAGAGATGAAGAAACTGCAGGACAAGTGCAAGAGGCTGCAGGCGGAGATAAACAAGCTCAACGATGAGAACAGGCAGCTGAAGGTTAGAATCTCTGAGAAGACTTTGATTAAAATGGGATTTTGGGAGCTCTTGTTTTTCTTGTTTCCCAGACCCATTTTAAAGGCAACTCTACATTTCAAGAGAGACAAAGTTGCACACCATTTCTTTTTAGTACACAGTCGAAACGCAAAATAATAGAGCTACATGCCATGGTTAGTTACTGGGCGTGTGATGATCCTTTAGAAGAGAATTACATAGTCCATAATCAGGTGATGCTAAAAACTACGACAGTCTAAAAAGTTCCAAACATACTATTTAACATTCCAGGTTTAATATTAAACTGGGATAAGAATAAATTATTTCAGAGCTTTAACTCTATTTAATGTTACAGAAACAATGTGCAGCTCAACTGAAAAGTCTTTAGAAAAGAAAAACATTTATAATGGCTGCATAGATGCAGATCCTGTCATAAGTTCTGATTAACCGCAACATTAAAGCCTATAGAATTTGTACGCTCCTTGCACTATTTCAAGCAGGTGTGTGGAGGCCTTTCCTGACCTTTTTATTGTTGCATCTTGCAGCTTAAACCTTCCAAAGCATTAGTAAGCAGTAATATTTAAGCAAATTTCCAAGGCACTGGATTTACCTTTGATCACAGAGTAGATGGTTATTATGAGACAGATAATAGAGCAGCAGTTACATTTCCAGGAACTGGAGTCACCTCCTAAACTGGAAATGATGCGGAAAAACAGGTCAGCAAAAAGCCTGCTGCAACATTTATTTATTTTTTATAGCAAGTAGTACATGTTGGCTGTGTGGTACATGGGACACCATTATCTTTATATGCTCAGACTTATAAAGAAGAAAGGCTCCTGCCTTCATTTGCATCTAAATTTAAACCACCAAAGCACTAACCTGAATAAAATCCTTTAGGATTCTTTAATTAAAGCCAATACTTTTAAGTTATGGTGTGTTGGTTTAAAAACGGACCTCTGCATAAATATCTGAAATAAAAGCACAACATTTTTCGTAGTTATTCTTTGAAAACTGAGGATAGAAAAGTTGGAGATATTATTTTTACAATTTTTTACAATGAAAAAGTGGGAATGTTGACTGTGTCACTTTACAAGTAGTGTTAAACCGTTGTTTGCATGGTCGCTGCAATGGTGGTGGGTTGAGTTTTGTGTTTTTACTGTTTGGAAAACTGGACATGAAAGGTGTTACCATTGATGCCTGTGTTGTGTTTTTGCTTTCTTGTTTTTCCAGGAGGATACAGTAAGGATGAGAAAGATGCCTCCCCGCTCAGACCACATGACGTCAAACTCAACCAGCGTCGTCGGCCGAGAAACCAGCGCCGCCTTCCTGCCCTCCCTCCTTGTCGTCATAGCTGCCATCTTCATCGGATTTTTCTTCGGAAAGTTCATCTTGTAGACTGGTATCGTGTGTGCCGGCCATATCCCTCTGCTCCGGCTCCAAAAAAAAAAAAAAAAAGAAGAATAAAGGTCTGAAAGAGCAAGAAGTCTTTCTGTTGACTTTGCCATATCATTGGTTGTGTGGCATACAGTGAACACATCTGTACAGCATCATCCAAAGGTGTCGCCTTTTTACAATGTCGCACACTTATTAAACCCAGAGAGTTCACTGAAGAACCCTTACAAAAAAAACAACATAAAAGCTATTTCTCTTTTTCTTGTTTTCACATTTTGTTTAATGGGTTTACAGGTAATTTGGTGGGACAATGGAAAGATGTTTATGATCAGACAAACGGGATCACAGAAAAACACCGAACCGCTGGGAAGAAACAGAACAGTTCTTGTTCCTTTCTTTCCTTTGTGCATTTAATAGGAATTGATTGAATTGCTAGGCATCTTGTAAATGTTATTTTAAATCCTTTCAGATAAAAACACGGACAGAACCTTTATTAAAACCGACTCATTGCTGGATTGCCTCCGGAGTAAATTTGTTTGTAATTTCTACTTGTTTCTGTTGGAATGTTCAGATCCGGCTGGGGAAACGAGTGCCTCGTTCTGTGCATTTGTCCTGTCGTTCTCCTTCCAGTTCAGAACTATTATTATTATTATTCAACACATTTATTCCTACTGAGGCAAGTATTGACTGAAATGAGATAAATTTATCTCCCATGGTATTAATCATTGACAAAATAAAATCTAAAAAAATGTGTTTTCATAGCCATCATTTCCTGTGTCACTGTGGGGGGGGGATATCAGGTCTACAGACCATCATAACCTTGGTTTTACAAAACTCATACAACTCGAACAGTAAAAGAATAGTCAAAGATACGTTTTACCATTTAAAAAAACGCTAATTGAAAACATCTGTATAAGACCAAAGCAAACGAATGGGAGCGAGCAAAAAGCATTTAAATACTTTACTAATTTACTGAAGTATTAACAGTATTAGCTTTTTGCACAGAATAGTGTTTGATTTAATCCTCCACTGAGGGATAATATTAGCTAGCTAATTAGCATAGCTTGATATACTGCTCTTTATTTATCGGATAAAAAAAAGCTTTAGGTTTTTAGCATTAAACGTCACTTCTACGACAGCATAACCTTGATAACCTTTATGTACGACTTTTTAAATTTCTTCTCCAAAATGGTGGTATGTCTTGTTTACTGAAGACTGGTTGCTTCTGGGGTTCTGTGGAGGAGGCCATTGGTCGTAAGCCATACCGGTTTGATCCACTGGCTCGATGTCTGAAGCCAGTTGTTTGGCCAAGGCATTTAACCCTAATCTGTTTTTTTTTGTTTTTGTTTTTTTTCAGACAAATCCAATAAATCAATCTTTTCTTCATTTGAAGTTTCATAATACAAAACACATAACATACATTTCTTTCAAAAACTAGCTAATTTCCATAATCTCTGGGCTTATTGCTACAATGTGTAATTTTTAGCAACATCTAATGGTCAGGCTGCAGCAACATGGCTTTTAAAAAGCTGTTTACTTGCAGCAGAGACACGGACCAGTTGAAGCCCGCTCTGATGCTCACTTTGCCCACAGGATCCTCTGAACCTCAGCCGTCCTCCATCCATCTCCAGCAGCTAGCCTCTAGAGCCTAGCCTTCGACCGTCTCCGTCTCTTGCTGCTCTGTCACCTTGGTGGGCTGGTACACCACAGCCACTCTACCCTGCCTTTAGACCCCTCTCCACCCAGCTGACTAATCTGATCTGCTGTTCTGCTTGGATCCTCTGCAGTAAGCCCCCAGCTAGCCTGGGCCAGATGTAGCCTTCCAGACCAGAAGCGCTGGCAGGTCACTTGCTCCTGAGCTCTCTTTCTGAGCTAGCAGCAGCAAGCTGCCATCCCTGCCGCTGTTGTTCCTAAGTCACAGTTGTCACAGTATTAATGTTTATTTCTCAAGAAGTATCAAATCCTACCATTTAAAAACAATTTTGTTAAAGTTAGAGTATCAATTTAAGGTGTGAAAAAACTAAAAGTAATATAAAATATAAAAGTAATGCAGGAAAAAATGTTAAGCACTGCACTATCCTATTAAAGGAAAATGTTTCTACAATTCAGGATGATAACTTCCTTTATTTCATTTTCTTAGTTTTATAACTAATGGTATGAGTGTCAGGGCTGCTCAGTGGCACAGTGGGTAGCACTGCTGCCTTCCAGCAAAAAGGTTCTGGGTTTGATTCTCAGCCCGGGGTCTTTCTGCATGGAGTTTGCATGTTATCTCTGTGCATGCGTGGGTTCTCTCCAGGTACTCTGGCTTGCTCCCACAGTCCAAAAAGATGACTGTGGTTAATTGACATCTCTAGATTCTCCTTAGGTGTGAGTGTGTGCGTGAATGGAACAGCAAAATTTAAAGCTGCAGTCTGTAACATTGAGAAGAGAGCAGACTTCGACTGAAAATTTGAAGAAAAACAGGTTTCACGTCACTCCCCCACCCTCTCTGCTTCACTCATGGCCCACCTCCAAGCTCCACCCCTCTCACAGCACCTGCGCGGCTACCGCATGCGACCAGAAGCGTCCAAGCAGCGTACGCGGCATGGAGTGTGAACCGGTAAGAGCGATAGCACTCATCTCCAAGCAGCTAGATATAAGATGCTGGTTATACCGAAGTTTGCCATGTAAGCAATTGTCGGCAGGGGCAGTAAGGGCAGTTTCTCTTTCGCTGGTGGCTGTCGCTCCGCCATAACTTCAACGCGCGTCCTCCTGACTGCGGCAGCCGGGCGCTGCGGCAGGTTAAAGGAATAGTACACCCAAAACATGATTAGCCTTCATTTTCTACTCACCCCCATGCTGAACAACACTCTGGAGTACTTTTTTGATATCTCAAATGCATCTGGAGATCTGGGAGGCTTCTTGCTGTCTGCTGACATTCAAATAATGGAGGTCTATGGTGACCGAGACAGAACGGTCCATAAAAGTCCACAAAAAACGTGTCAATATTCCTCCATACTGCTCGTCCAATGTATTCCAAGTGTCCTGAGTGGGTAGCATCCAGAATTTACTCGAAACGAAGTCATTTAGAATGTTTTTAGAGCATAAACAGTAGTGTATAGCATTTCCTGAAAGCGCGCACATGCGCGCTCACGACGCTACGGAAGCCGGCAGACCAAACCAGATGAAAGTGCGCATTCAGCGTCTGCTCTGCCAATAATGCAAGCATAGAAGAAGAAATGTGCTGTTTACCTGTGCAAAGAAAGAAACAACGAAAGAAAAATGTCTGAGGACTTCAGTGTTGAGGAAGAGCATGAGTTCTTTGCCGAGCTGAATGCGCTGGTTTGGTCTGCCGGCTTCCGTAGCGTCGTGAGCGCGCATGTGCGCGCTTTCAGGAAATCCTGAAAGCGCGCACAAGTTGTTTTGACTCGTCCCGAATTATTCTTTCCAGATTGAAATACAGGCAGTATGCGGGACCAATTGAAGCAGTTTTTTTCACAGGTTACATATCACATGTACTGCTGTCTGGGCATAGAGACAGTTTTAGCCAATATGACAAAAAAGTGATTTTTAAAAACTTACAGACTTCAGCTTTAAACAGCGTGCACAAGGAGAAATGGGCTCTTGCACTCGCATTTTTCGTATTTCCATAAAGAAACCTGAAAAACACATTGTTTTTTTTTATGCTGATACAGCAACTTTATTTCGTTTTACTTTTAAACATAGCTTATTAATTTTATTAATGAGCTTTTAAAAATTGCTATTTAACTTATGCTGTTTTTTTTTTTGTTTTTTTTTTAACAGTAGTTAACATTGGATTACTGGTGGTACACATCAAAAATTATCTAAAAATTATGAAGATTTCTTAAAATAAATGCATTTACCCTTAATTTGAGTAGGTAAATAAGACAATCTGCCGATGGAATGAGTATTTTTAACCTAAAATCAGATAATTGGATATTATGCACTTGAATAAGGAGACTGCAGTTGTTTTTTTCCTTATTTTAAATGTTAATGGTCTTATTCCATTAGAAAAGTGTCTCACTTCCCTGCTTATTTGAAGAAACAAATGCACTTAAGAAAAATTACCTTAGATTTCTATTATTTAGAGTGTATTCTATGAAGCAGTTAGACTCAGGTTTAAGACAGAGGTGCAGACGCTGCAGACCACATTTGACCTCAGGATTTTTGCCTTGTTTGCTCCGAATCGGAGTTCATATCAAAGTTACCAAAAATGGCGTAGCTGTCAAGCCCCTGTTTTGGCTGGAAAACTACCATAGCTTACCCCTCTTCCCCGCCATCCTCCTGCATTAATAAATGTGTGAATTACAGACGTTAACAGGAGAGGTGAAGATGCAAAATGCTCTTTAAGTTCTTGAACCTTTCAGGCCATGCTGAGGGAGAACATCATTGTAATAACTGAATGACTCAACAACTCTGAGTAGAAGTTTGGGGTCAGTTAATATTTTGATCAGATCTGCTCTGGATTAAAACCAGGCGTTATCATGCATTTTGCCCAATCATCACGTTCTGCATGACAGAGTCTGTTATGGTAAATTCAACCAAATAATGAGCTGAAATTAGTTTTCTTTACGAGGTGCCAAATTCCACAAACAAACCTTGAATCATTTTTTCAAAGCGTGCAGGCAAGTAACTAGAGGTGATTCCTTAGGGAAGGGATCGTGGGAAAGAAAATGTTTATTTTTTTCTGTGCAGCGAGAGGAACGGAATATTTAATTCTGGCTGTTTGGGTCAAACTGAATGCTACAGAAAGGTTCTGGCAGTGTTGGTTTATAGATTAATCACACTGTAGTCGATTAGAGTTGTTTATAAACAGTCTGTGTTGTATTTATTTTAATAACTCAAATTGGAGCCAACCATGACTCATTTTACCTCTGTTCAAATTATCCTAAAAACGCATTTATTCAGATCTGCATACCTCCTCTGATTGCCCTGTCCTGTTTTAAAAATTATTTATTGGGGATTAAGTTTGTTGTACTGTGCCTCTTCAATGTTTGGAAAGGCACTTTATTTGAAATGTATTATGTTTTATTATTGTTAATTAAAAGCTTAGACAATGTTAACATAATTTTTCAAAAAAACCCCAAGACATAAGTATTATATTGTGATTGTAGTTTAAACACCAACACAAAAGGGTGTAATTGTAAAGTGGGTGTAATTTATTCCCAGAGAACCCTGGTAAACAAAAAGCGTTGTAAAGAAGGAACGGACAAACAAATATCTGCTAAGGATGTTACCAAAAAGCCAATGGTAGTTCTGAAGGAAATGCAGAAATTCACTGCTCAGGCTGCAGAATGCCACTGATTTTTCAATTTTGAGGATGGGTGGGGGTAGGTGGGCTTTCCACCTCCACAGGAAATAAAAGTGCTTCTGTGCCCTCTTAACCAGTTAGTTGGTGTTAACAGTGTTTAGAGGTGAGGGTGTCTGTGATGTGCACTCCCAGGAATTTTGTGCTGCTGACCACCTCTACAGCTGAGCTGTTGATGAGCAGTGTAGCGTGGTTAGGACGGTTCTTCCTGAAGTCCAAGATGAGCTCCTTCATTTTCTCCACATTCAGGATCAATCAATCAAAACTTCTTTATTGTCAACTACAATTTACATTTTAATCGCAATTTCAGAATCAGAATCAGAATTCTTTATTGTCATTGCTCCACAGGGGTGCAACGAAATTATTTGAAAAAGAAAAAACACAGTACAAGCAATCAGTGCAAATTTAAAAATATAAAATAAAAAAATAAAATTAAATAAATAAA